ATGACATGGTCAGCAGTTAAAAGATACCGACCAACATTGTCTTCCACCATTGGCTTGGCTTAGTGGTTAAGCTGGAGGTGTACAGAGTGTATGTATGCCTGGGTTCGAATCCCAGAAGTCACTTACAACGATCGCAACTCTTTCGTTTTTGTAACTCTGGCTAAAATTTACTAATCAATTCTTACCGAGCTTGCAGACCCAGGTTAGTTGTCTTACGCTGGGTAAGTTACAAAGTGCCGAGCTTTCAGGCCAGGTGGATCATTGACTTGGCTCAGTGGTCAAGGTGGGAGGTGTACGCATTGTATCTATGTATGCCCTGGGTTCAAATCCCTAACAAGTTATGCTGTTCATCCTAAACAGTTTTTTACTTACTACTATATTAGAGTGACATGGTCGTCAGCTAAAAGATACTGACCAACTTCCTCTTGCAGTGCTGACTTGGCTTAGTGGTTGAGCTGGGAGGTATGCCCTGGGTTCAAATCCCAGAAGTCACATAGAGCGAAGACGGCCTTTTTGTAACGCTGGCTAAAATTTACTAATCCAAGGCTTGTAACATCCAAAGTCCCAAGAACGGGTAGTTGTCTTAGTTGTCTTATGCCGAGAACGGGTGACTTACAAAGTGCCGAGCTTGGACACCCGGGTTCAAATTGCAGGCAGGTAAAAGATACTGGCCGCGATCATCTTCCAACATTGGCTTGGCTTCGTGGTTACGCTGGGAGGGTACATCGTGTATGTATGCCCTGGGTTCGAATCCCACAAGTCAGTTACACCTATCGCAACTCTTGTTAAAATTTACTAATCAATGCTGGTTTGACCGATGTTGTCTCGGATCATGAAAATTTGAACTGCAAGTTCTGCCTGGTCTGCCTCTGCTTGGCTGCTAAATTAAAGGCCAAGCTGAAAACGATTCAGCTTGAAAATGCCGGCCTCGGTGATGCATCGGCTGATGAGATGTTCATAAATTCTCGTGTCCGGCCGACTCGGTGATATCCATGAACCATGACTACCGTGGGTCTCACCAGCTGACCCTGGTAACCAGAGTTGAGGGCCCTCGGCCGACCACCAACCCAGGCGAATTCAAAATGTCTGCCGACCTTGCATAGCCTAGCTGCTAATCAGAAGTGAAGGCCCTCGGCCGATCACCAACCCAGCAACGTTCACAACTGTCAGCCGACCTTGCATCTTCCATCAGCCGATATACAAATACAATGTTCAAAACTGTCAGCCGACCTTGCATAGCTTAACTATCTTCCATCAGCCGATATACAAATACAATGTTCAAAACTGTCAGCTGACCTTGCATAGCTTAGCTATCAGCCGATATACAAATACAGGGACTTGACTTCCCGGGGCAGCTTCCTACTGATCGGTGTATGCTAAATCTACGTAGCTGGCCGACCCTTCTTTACCTTGATAGTGGGATCACATCGGCCAATTCATCAACACAGGGTTATTGGCCCTCATCGGCCCATCAGCAGGCACCATCAACTATGGCCTGTTTGTATTGTCGGGCCTCTCAGTGTTGGTGGGTGATTCCTACTAACTGCCCTGCTTTTCATATTTACCCCCAATATTTTCATTGGGATTTTTCAATTGTATCCCACATGTCAGGGTCCATGCAATGGGCTTCTATGGAAGTGGTCACATGACCAGTTACCAAAAATGGTCAAAAAACAAAAGTTGTAGCCCTACAGTGTAGCTTCCCAAATCTGTTTGAATTGTATTCTGAAGTGCTCCCATTGTGGAGATATGAGGTAAAAGAATGTCAAAAGTGTCAGGTTTTTTTTTGTATTTTGTGTTTTTCTCTATGAAAACAAAACCAAATAACATGATTTCAGTATATTCAGAAAGCTAAAAGAAAGGGCTACAATTATTGTATCATGGGGAAAATGACCAAAAAAGGAAGATGCATGCCCTACTATAACAGTCAGATATATGACTACAAAAAAGTTGGACTTATACTACCCAGTTTACTGATGCACTATAAAAGACTACAAAAGTTGCACTTAGACTACAAAGTTAGGTGTGCGCTTTTTCATTAGAAAAGTTTGTAGTGTCCGCTTTTTGAGACTACAAAAGTTTGTAGTGTGCGCTTTTTCATTAGAAAAGTTTGTAGTGTCCGCTTTTTGAGACTACAAAAGTTTGCAGTGTACACTTTTTTAAGAAGAGTTTGTAGTGTCTGCCTTTTCATTTAAGAAAGTTTGTAGTTGACATGTAGTTTATGGTGTCTTTGGCCCTATCTATGTTATGGCATGAGGTTGAAGGATTGCCAGTGCTGCAGCATTGGTATTTGACATCATGCACAAGTTGTCTTTCACAGTAGGAAAGGCCATTGATACCTGCTCTGCTATCTGAAAACATAATTGTGAGTTCATATGGAAATATGGCTGAAGGATTGACATCACTGTATATATCATCAGTTTCTCACATCATGCCCAAGGTGTCTTTGAAGCTAGAGAAGGCTATTCATGTTGATATCTACCCAAGACATGGTCAGCTTGCAACATGACCTGACTTAAAGACACCTCAAAGGATGAATCAGCCCATTATATATTGCATCTTGCCCAAGTTGGCTTTGAAGCTAGAGAAGGGTATTTATGTTGATATCTACTCAATACATGGTCAACTTAGAACATGACCTAGAACTAGTGTTCGCAAGTTCAGTTCAGTCCGGTTTTTTGCCCCCAAAACGCGCAACCGTGGACCGCAACCGGTCTAGGACCGACCCAGATATTGAGGGAACCGAACCGAACCACCTAGGACCGGTCTATTTCGGTCTATGGAGCCGGTTCAGACCGATCCAGACCGGTTTTTTTGCATATAATTTATTATACCAATATAAACCATTTGTATCTTGACTATTATTACTCTGAAAAATAAACGGGTTATATGAAATAGTAAAGCATGTAAATACCCGTCATTCTACCAATTTTGAAGAGATTTAATGAAGATTTGACATAGCTATAACTGAAACCGAATTACATCTCCTAGAGACTCGGGTAAAATATGGATTTGGTTATATCTTTCTCAATTCTTAACCGTTTTTGATGAAACAAAAACCCAATAAAAGGTAATAAACGTGGTTACAAGGGTATGTAACGCATGTGACCGTTTAACCGGTTGCAACCGATCAAAACCGGTCTTTGAACGGTTTTAATATATTTTCGAAATGAGGCAACCGGCAACCGGACCAACCCCAAATTGGGGCAACTGCAACCGAAAAAAAGACCGGACCATGGTCCGGTTCAGTTCGGTCCACCGGTTTTTTGTGGTCCTATGGACTGAACCTTTAAACACTACCTAGAACACCTCAAAGGATGAATCAGCCCATCATCCTACAGCCCTCAAAGAGCTGTATCAAAGTTGACTATGTTTGGGACAGGTCAGTAGCTATCAATGTGAAAACAGACAGTGTAAAAGCCCACTTGGTCATCATGTCAAAAACTCATGATATCATGTCAATCCTTCAGCCAGAGTGCATGATGTCAAATACTAATGCTGCAGCACTGGCAATCCTTCAACCTCATGCCATAACATAGATAGGGCCAAAGACACCATAAACTACATGTCAACTACAAACTTTTTTAAATGAAAAGGCAGACACTACAAACTCTTCTAATAAAAAAGTGCACACTGCAGACTTTTGTAGTCTCAAAAAGCGGACACTACAAACTTTTCTAATGAAAAAGCGCACACCTAACTTTGTAGTCTAAGTGCAACTTTTGTAGTCTTTTATAGTGCATCAGTAAACTGGGTAGTATAAGTCCAACTTTTTTGTAGTCATATATCTGACTGTTATAGTAGGGCATGCATCTTCCTTTTTTGGTCATTTTCCCCATGATACAATAATTGTAGCCCTTTCTTTTAGCTTTCTGAATATACTGAAATCATGTTATTTGGTTTTGTTTTCATAGAGAAAAACACAAAATACAAAAAAAAACCTGACACTTTTGACATTCTTTTACCTCATATCTCCACAATGGGAGCACTTCAGAATACAATTCAAACAGATTTGGGAAGCTACACTGTAGGGCTACAACTTTTGTTTTTTGACCATTTTTGGTAACTGGTCATGTGACCACTTCCATAGAAGCCCATTGCATGGACCCTGACATGTGGGATACAATTGAAAGATCCCAATGAAAATATTGGGGGTAAATATGAAAAGTTGCAATGAAAACAGTGGGGATAAATATGAAATTCAGAATGAAATATTGAGAGCTGAATAATGAAAAGTCACAATGAAAGCAGAGGGAATAAATATGAAATTCAGAATGAAATACTGAGAGCTGAATAATGAAAAGTCGCAATGAAAGCAGTGGGGATAAATATGAAATTCAGAATGAAATACTGAGAGATAAGTATGAAAATCTGCAATTAAATTGCCAGCCACCTTTATGAAATCCACAAGGGTAATTCTCCTACAACTTTTGAGTGAAGCCCAGCATTTAAATGAATGAGAGACATAAGCAAGTCAAATGAAAGGCCTTTCATTATTATGCTTGAGATATAGATATTTAGCTCTAGGCATATGCCTTAGTATTATGATAAAAGTGGTAGCCACCAGTCTCAGGCAACCACCTAACCCTACCCTCTTAGGGTAGTTACTCCATGCCAATAAGACTACCCTATGAGGGCCCAATACCATGGTGTGTCCCACCTATTTCATGGAGTCCCCTGGGGGTAGCCAGGTACTCCCATGGGAGTTCCATGGTATCTCCTAGGACTTCCAGATTCCTCTTACATTTCCTTGGGAGTCCCACCTCTGTGGGAGTCCCAAGTATTATATTCCCTGGGACTCCCTAAGTCAAGGGACTCCCATCTGATTCATTGGGACTCCCAGCCATATATGTACCTAAATTACTATTCTCTGGGACTCCCCAGGATGAGGGACTCCGAAGTATATATGTACCTAAATTGCTATTTCCATGAATATATGTGCCTGTCAGTAGCAAAAGCCAAGCCTTATACTGTAACAGAGAGAAGGCTTGAAACTTATAACCTAACCAAGCCTTATTAACCACTTTATAACCAATTGAAGCCTTACACTATACAGAGAGAAGGCTTGAAACTTATAACCCAACCCTTATACTATAACCAAGCCTTATAATATAGCAGAAAGAAGGCTTGAAACTTATTAACATAGTATATTGGCCACCTCAAATTTATTTTACAAACCACTCACAGACGACTTAATGTTTCACGGAAATATAAGTCAGGTGATCTTAACATACAAAGGCATATATATACATAAGGCATATACATGAAGATCATATATGTAATACCAAGGAATGCTAGAGGACAAGTCCAAATACTATAATCATGAGAGAAGTGCAATTTAATGCCTTGTGTTTGAAGGATGACCCCAACTTGCATCCTTCGAAGAGCCAGGCCTACCATTATCCATTGGATGGCTTCCGGATGGAATTCACCGTGTAGGAAGTGCAACAACCCTGTGTGTCCCTTCCTCCAGTTCTGATATCTTCCGCTTTTTCTGAGGCAGCTGTAGTTCAGAAGAGCCAACACCAAGCCGTCCCATATCCTCTTTGTTGTTGTAACGGACAATCTGTACGTTAAATGTGGGAGCTGTCGATGAAAGTTGTATGGCGAGCTGGAATGGTAATGGTGTGAAGACCCAGCTGCAATCTTGGTTGCAACTTATTGAGATCACTCTGGAAATCCAAAGTTACAACCCCTGCTACCTCTTGGGAAATCCACAAGAGGTTGGATACAGACACAGGAAGGGGTAACACTGCAGATCTGATAAGATCTGCCCTGATCAACTGGTGCTGACACTTGTTCTCTTGGAGAAGAGTGTCAGTGACCTGTTAATACACAATAACACTTGCCTATTGGTTTGAGCTACGATAGAACGCCTGCTAGAAAGCAATAGATGCAGTGGTGGTAGAGATGTAAGAAGGTGAATTGTCACATGACTACTACTGACAGGTATGGAAGGGAGTCATGTGACACAAATGCTAAGTAATGGAAAGTAACCAATATAAGAGAAGAGTAGGATCCCACATCCCTGCTACAAAGCCCCCCTACTTTCCAGTTGCTTAGCAAAATGGAAAAGAAGAGGCTATGGGAAAGGGTGGTGGGAGTGAAAACCAGAAGAAAAAATTTGAGGGTAAAATGTAATAGAGAGATTGATGAAGAATAGAAGATATTTGAGACTCAACAGTGCAAAGTTGATTATGAAGAAAGGGCAACAGCACCCACTTGAAGTTGGTACTCTCCAATGTATTTCTCCCAGGCCTTGACTCCTAGCCTGATCCTTGTGATAAGAGCCCTCCAGACAGCATGCAATTGTGGCAGGCTAGAGGTACCTTGTAAAATCGGTAACAGAGTGTTCCCTGGGTCTACTATGAAGTGAAATTTCCTGTCCACAATCAAAGCAGCTGCTTGTTGTAAAAGTTTTTGCTGTGCCATGACCACTGCAGTAAGTTTGTTCATAGCAGCCATCAAATGATAGTGAGGTTGGTTCCTAGCTCTGACTTTTCCTCTGTCTACAACAAGGTCCAGGGTCAATTCCTCTAGGCTTAACACCATCATAATGCTCTTCTCCATTGGATCTGAGTAAGGCTCTATTATTGCTGAAGAGTACTCTTGCTTGAGCTGAGCCATGGGTGATTTCTCAAATGCTGTGGCCAGAAAGGGAGTAGATTTGTTATTGCCTGTCATTGACAATGGATGTCTGACTTTGTCACTAACTGTGGGAACATCTGGTAATGGTGACGCCCGCAGCTCATCTCGCATATCGGGGCTTGGCTGGTAGGTCAACGAAGGCAGAGAGGGTGTATGTTTGTCACGCATCAATGACAGTGTGCTACCCTTGCTTTCGACCACAGGAATAGCATGTTCTGTAGTTGAGGGTGGAGTCAGAGGAGGTGAAGGAAGCGATGCCAGGTGGCAGAGGTTGCATGACAGAGGAGGAGGATAAGGTGGAGTGGTACCTACCATTTAAATCATATAAAATAGGCAACCGTCAGCACAGTCATTTATTTGCAGCCAAGGTTGTTTATGATATGAAATGTACTGGCAAGTCTAATGGAATCTGTTTATTTGCCTATTTCATTCCTACCCAGCCATATTTTTCATTGCCTGCCTACTCTGATGTCATTGCCATTTCTTTCCTCCTTCTGATGATGTTTTTCACTGTATCATTGCCTGCCTGCTCCGATGTTTTATCTATTTCATTCCTACCCAGCCATATTTTTCATTGCCTGCCTACTCTGGTGTTTTAGATATTTTATTTCTACCCAGCCATATTTTTCATTGCCTGCCTACTCCAATGTCTTAGCCATTTCATTTCACCCTGGCTTTATTTCTCATTGCCTGCCTACTCTGGTGTTTTAGATATTTTATTTCTACCCAGCCATATTTTTCATTGCCTGCCTACTCCAATGTCTTAGCCATTTCATTTCACCCTGGCTTTATTTCTCATTGCCTGCCTGCTTTGATGTTTTAGATATTTCATTTCTACCCAGCCATATTTTTCATTGCCTGCCTACTCCAATGTCTTAGCCATTTCATTTCTCCCTGGCTTTATTTCTCATTGCCTGCCTGCTTTGATGTTTTAGATATTTCATTCCTACCCAGCCATATTTTTCATTGCCTGCCTACTCCGATGTTTTACCTATTTCATTGTCTTCCCATCCTCATGTTATAGCCAATTCATTCCTGCCAGCTGTATTTTTCATATTGGGCAAGGCTTTGTCTCACATGTCATCTAATCTAAGTATCTAACTAATCATCAAAGTCAAGGCAATCATCGTCATCATCAAGTCCATCTCCTTCATTCTCATTGAATTCGTGCTCAGCCCCACCTTCAAAATCTTCACAGTCAAATATAAACACTTCCTCGGCCTCGGTGACAGCACCAGGGTCAACCACAGCAGTTTCTGCAACTTCACGAAGCAAGTGCTCATAATCCGATGCCTACGTTGGCATGATACTCTTATCCATAAGATGGGGCAGCCAATGCACAGCACACCTCTCTGCCATGCGACTGCAAATTGCAGCCTGCTTATGTGCATATCCCAAAACCCCACTTAAAATGGTCTCATCAACGTGACTTCGCAAAGCACAGCATTCACACCACCAGTCAGCTTTCCACTTCAGATAAACTATAGCTTGCCGCATCTCCTCTTGGATGAGCAACAGTTCCTCATTCCATCGTTGCATCCAAGCCTTTGCCTTTGCCCATTCAACCCACATACCCTCATTGAATTCATCCTTGCCTATATTCATCTGCATGTTGATGGCTCCACTGACGTGTGGCACAAGCCAAATCCACGATGGTTCATAACGGCTGTTAGAAACATCGTCGGGCTCTCTTCTGGGACCAGTGATATGCTCTGTCTTCAACTCCTTCAACCGCATTGACCATGAGCCACCCAGATTGAGAGCACATAACGCACGCCAGGCAGACTTATACTTCTCTGCTGCTCGATCCGTCTTATTACTGAACTGTTTGTAAAGCGTTATCATCTTCGTATTTGGCCTGTTCCCCGTTCTGGAAATGTTGAGTTGTTTGAATTGCCAAAGGCCCTGAATGACACGCCGCTGGCACCGGACTTCACTGAGCGTGTCGTCTGCCTGCGGTTCACGGAGACGTTGTTCCATCTGACAGATTTCCTTGAGTTCGGGGAGAGTACGAATGTGAGATGGCAGCGAGGATGGTAGGTAGAGGGGAATATTTTTGGGCAGGGTTTCAGGTGATGAAGATGCTGATTGAACCCCATTTTCGGGAGGCGACGTGGGGTATATAAACGAGCTGGACCACCCACCAATTCTGAATTAAGCGAAGGAGTGCATTGCGCCTCTCTTGAAGATCTGCAAGCTCCTTACTGGTCTTCAAGCCTTTCAGTTTGGCCGCTTCATGACAAAGAAGATATCTGATATACTATGAGATTAAGTAGAACTAGATTAAAACATGACACATACTGGCTATCCTCCAACTCAAACCCAGACATCAAGAAAGCCGATAAGCTCACTTTATGTCGTGGAAGGTTGCCAAGGGCAGCTTGAGCAGCTTCTTCCTCTGCTAGCGCAAGCCAGACATCTTGGAGTGTTATCGCTGTGAGTCCCATCAAGATTCGTAACAAACAATGAGTTGCAAGAAGAATGAACTGACCACTCCGTGGTTCTGTGTAAGGATTTCGAGCCTGATGATTTGCTTCCCATTACTTCACCATCGCCTCTAGTGTTTAAAGGTTCAGTTCAGTCCGGTTTTTTGCCCTGAAAACGCGCAACCGTGGACCGCAACCGGTCCAGGACCGACCCAGATATTGAGGGAACCGAACCGAACCACCTAGGACCGGTCTTTTGCGGTCCATGATACCAGTTCAGACCGATCCAGACCGGTTTTTTTGCATATAATTTATTATACCAATATAAACCATTTGTATCTCAACCATTATTACTCTGAAAAATAAACGGGTTATATAAAATAGTAAAGCATATAAATACCCGTCATTCTACCAATTTTCAAGAGATTTAATGAAGATTTGACATAGCTATGACTGAAACCTAATTACATCTCATAGAGACTTGTGTAAAATATGAATTTGGTTATATCTTTCTCAATTCTTAACCGTTTTTGATGAAACAAAAACCCAATAAAAGGCAATAAACGTGGTTACAAGGCTATGTAACGCACGTGACCGTTTAACCGGTTGCAACCGATTAAAACCGGTCTTTGAACGGTTTTAAAAGATTTTCGAAATGAGGCAACCAGCAACCAGACCAACCCCAAATTGGGGCAACTGCAACCGAAAAAAAGACCGGTCCATGGTCCGGTTCAGTTCAGTCCACTGGTTTTTTGCGGTCCTATGGACTGAACCTTTAAACACTAATCGCCTCCCATTTCTTGATAACCCCCGGAGAGAACGTGGCCGACAGTTGGTTGAAATTTTGTGTTTGCTTCGCACTCATTGTGAAGGCATCTTTGAAGCGCTTCAGAAATAACTTTCCTGTTAAACCACTGAGTGTACGAAAAGAATGGTTGTGACGAAAGAAACTTATGAAACCCCACAATTTTACAGAAGTTCCATCCATTCCAATGGTCATTCAAGGTATTGTGTCATGCCGCCGGACCCATCTCGTGAACAGCAGGTGCTAAGGAGTTTGTACCTGCCCATGTCGTTTCGATATCTTCACCTGTTGTTCTTCTGGCCCCTTCCATGTAGCTCAAGTTAAAATCATTCCTACATTCCGCACTGTGGCCATAAATGTGCCAGCCTGGAATTGCCACCTCAACTTGAGTCCTCTCTGGGATTTGCATCTCTTCAGGGAAGTCGGACATGCGTTTCTGGAAGTGTTTTGACCACTGGCAGATGACGTCGTATGTAATGATTATCCATAAAACAGTAACGCCAACAAGGGCAGTAAAGATAATGAAGTCGACGTTGCAATACCTAGAGTTGTATTAGAGGGCTTGTAAAGCAAATAGTAGCACGCTGGTAGGTTTTCGCCCAGTTATTTTGTGCTCACCTCTGGCTCATCGACATAATTTGTGATATGAGCTTTGTATTCGGCTTCTGGAACAAATGCCCCCCAACCAGGCATGAGTTCTACATCCTTGAGATATCGTTGTTTCCCCTTGAGCTTGAAATTGCCATCCACGGCAATGAAGAGAGTGTACAAAAAGCTATTGTAAATGCTAGTCAAGGGTGTGATCTGACCGGTCGAAAAAACCGAACTTACAGCAATGGTCCGGCCTTCTCCCAGTCATCAGGGAGGTTTTGACCTGGGTGAGGGCATGCTGGACACTCCACCATCAACTCTCCATTTGCCGTGGCATCGATACTGCCTGGGTTGTGACCTCGACCACTTCACTTCAGTGCCATCAAGTTCTTCTACATCCTGAAGACACAATGAATCTCGGTATAGCGATACTGTCAAGCGTAAATAAGTTGATTTGAGAAAATGATAGCTTGCACTTACAATTGGATTAGTGAGATTAGCGTTGTCATATTGTTGCAGGAGAGTATGATAGTAGTCATAGAGACTTGTCTTGCCTTGCAGAGTGAGTTCATGGAAAGTTTCGAGGCAGTCGAATGTGAAGACGGTTTGGGGTCGTGTAAGTGTTGCAGGAAACCATTTCTCACAGAGCAATTGGTTCCATGGTGACAGTGGTTGGTTGCTGCAATGACAGTAGTCGATGGAGATAGAGTGGGGGCCAGAGATGTTGAAAACGATGAAGTTCTTCGGGCCAGGATGAGGACAAGGACACGGCCCTCCAGAGTGGCCAAGTTGATAATGGTGTCCAAGGTTTTGAAGCGAGTCTTTATTGAAAAATTTGTTGTTCCATCGCTAAGCTGAGTGATCAATTCCCATCAGGTGACTAGAATGGTGACAGCTGACCTCAACACGGTGCAAAGGAAGGGTCTTATGCAAGGAAACAATGCATTCTGGGCATTTCAACAAAGACCCGCAAGAACAATCCTTACACTTTATGACACCTGCGGCCGTTCCACAGTTAGAGCATCTGTCCTTGTGCAAAAAATCACAAAGTCTGTTGTGTTGCAGGGCCTCGTCTAAAAACACTGTTCTAAACTTGATCCATTCGGTAAGTCAGTGCTGGAGGAAACTCAGAACATGTTGAACACAAAATTGGGTGGTGTTACATACTGCGTTTGCGGTGTTTCTCATCCTCTTAGGTTTACTGGTCCACTGTTCTTCTTCCAAAATTTGATCTTGTAATTCATCATTAGGCTTGAGCTGCAATTCAGGGAATGAAGTTGGGGGTGCATTAGGCTCGAACTGTGATTCAGGGATTGAGGTTGGGCACGTGGGTACATCTGGAGGGGCAGAAACCGGGGTTGGGAGGGTCGAAGAGAGGACTCGGTTCCGGGCTTGTAAGTTGCCATGTCGTTTGTCGGGTTGGTTCACTGTGACGAAATCTAGCCTTGAGACAAGTGTGTTTAACCGGAAGTCCCCTGTTGGAGGGGTTTGGCCATTTAGACATGAAGGCAAGACTGAAGAAAGGTGAATGAAATGGAAATGGCAATGAAATGAAATGAGGAGCGTTTCCCATATTGGAAATCAGAATTGTCATTTTTGGTATCATGACTATGTCGTCTCATACAAGTTTAATAGCTACGATAAAATGTACCTTCAATGTCCTTTTGAACCATAGATTTGCCGTAGTTCCAGATTTGCCATAGTTCCTTCTTTCCAACTCTGAACATTATACCTCAGTGCAAGCGCTCGAGGTTCGAGATAGTTGATTGAATCCATCTCAAAGAACTTGAGAGAGTCCATAGCCATTTAGTACTACTAGTAGGCCGAGGTCCATTTCTATTGAGGTCTTTACAAATAGTGTTTAAAGGTTCAGTCCATAGGACCGCAAAAAGCCGGTAGACCGAACTGAACCGGACCATGGTCCAGTCTTTTTTTCGGTTGCAGTTGCCCCAATTTGGGGTTGGTCTGGTTGCTGGTTGCCTCATTTCGAAAATCTTTTAAAACCGTTCAAAGACCGGTTTTAATCGGTTGCAACCGGTTAAACGGTCACGTGCGTTACATAGCCTTGTAACCACGTTTATTGCCTTTTATTGGGTTTTTGTTTCATCAAAAACGGTTAAGAATTGAGAAAGATATAACCAAATCCATATTTTACCCGAGTCTCTAGGAGATGTAATTCGGTTTCAGTCATAGCTATGTCAAATCTTCATTAAATCTCTTGAAAATTGGTAGAATGACGGGTATTTATATGCTTTACTATTTTATATAACCTGTTTATTTTTCAGAGTAATAATGGTTGAGATACAAATGGTTTATATTGGTATAATAAATTATATGCAAAAAAACCGGTCTGGATCGGTCTGAACTGGTATCATGGACCGCAAAAGACCGGTCCTAGGTGGTTCGGTTCGGTTCCCTCAATATCTGGGTCGGTCCTGGACCGGTTGCGGTCCACGGTTGCGCGTTTTCGAGGCAAAAAACCGGACTGAACTGAACCTTTAAACACTATTTACAAACCTACAAATTGAATGGATCTTTCTACTACTTCAAATAATTTTCTCCTGAGTCTGGACAAGAACTCAGTACTCAGGCTCAAAGTTTTCTCTAGTCCAACTCGAGATAGGTTCAATTGTAGATATGATCCTCTTAGAAATAATGTGATTCATTGATAATTGTAAACTGATATGATAAATCAGTGGTAATACTGTGATCGCATATGCCCTTGAGTAAGAATGCAATGTTGCCAATGCATACAGTCATCTCTGGTCTGAATACCTGACCTGGGGCTAGTATGCTCTCGCACAAATTACAACACATATATTTCAAGTATTTGCAGTTCAAATCTATTCAACGATCAAGTATTCCACTGCATCGGTAGGGGTACCCTCATTTAACAACTCCCTTCCAAGTTTCTTTTTCAGTTGTAATAATCTGAATGGGCAGACTGGAAAATTCGGCCACAAGTTGGAGTGATCAAGGAAAGAAACACACATATTGCAACCTGTACGATGAGATAGAGTCCAAGAAAGCACTACAACGGAGCTACTGAAGCCTAGTCCAATATAACAGATTAACAACTACTGGAAGAACTACTGGACAGCCTTGTCTCTAGGGCCATAAATCACTAGTAGCTGCCATTTACATCATGTAAAACCTGGCATGTACCATAGAAGTTCCTGCTTAGCTACCGTGAATGAAATGAAATGAATTTTCATTCATTCACAACACCTGTTTCATTCCAAGTCATTCTCATTCATTGCTGTCGAGAATGAAATACTTTTTGTTTCATTTCATTTTTTTCTTCATTTTTACTGACAAGAATGAAATTAATTCTGTTTCATTCATTCCTGGTGACTGTTTCATTTTTTTATTTCATTCCACTAGTGGCTACCACTATTTATGATTAATCTATGACAACTCCAAGAGGCAATGTGTATACTGCCACAGGTTTTATGAAAGGCATCTCATTAGGATTGCCCATCTATTTCATTCAATTTATCACTAGAATCTTTCATAAGATATAGGCAAGGATAATGAGATATCATGAGGATATTTCATTAAGCTCTTTGGCCCTTTCATTGCCATTTCATAGACTTTTCATTAGGATATTTCATTAGGTTCCTTCGCTTTTTCATTATCATTTCTTAGAATTTTCATTAGGATATTTCATTAGACACCTTCGCTTTTTCATTACCATTTCTTAGAATTTTCATTAGGATATTTCATTAGGCTCCTTCGCTTTTTCATTACCATTTCTTAGAATTTTCATTAGAATATTTCATTAGGCTCCTTCACTTTTTCATTACCATTTCTTAGAATTTTCATTAGGATATTTCATTA